AAATGGCTTCCAAAGGAGCTGTATGTAATACTTTATACTACCACCATCACTAAACATTTCACAAACACTAGACACTATCACCTCTGAAAGTGACATCTTTATCATGTACCTTTTAGAATAAAGGTAAAAAATGAAAGTGACTACAAATGAAATGCTAAATGCATCTCAATGATTATAATTTGCATTTTTAGAATAGTAGCAGTTACATCCCTACCCACCCTTGCAAATCTGATTTCCCCCAAAGAAGGACCATAGTGTAGCAGGAAATGGGAGATTTAGAGCCAGACAAATATGAGTTCATATTTCACCTCCTTCTTATTTCAGGGTTTGACTCTGGAGAATTTACTACTACATGCTACTTTATTTACTATTATCTTTCTTTTGGAGATACGGAAATGACCATCAAACAATTTTGTGAGGATTAAAATAATGTTTTGAAGGTTCCTGGCAACAAACAGGGTGGCTTGATGAGTATCAGTTCTTTTCCCTCACTTTATTCCTATTCTTTGTCAATATATCATTTGTAGGTGATTAAGAACACAGGCTCTGGAGTTAGACTTAAGGTTTAAATTCTAGCTCTAAGTCTATTAATTGTGTGATAGTAGGCAAATCACTTAGTTACCCTCATTTCCTATCTTACAAAATGGGGCCAGTAACAGTACCTAACATCAAAGTGTTGCTGTGGGAAGTAAGGATATGCTTGAACACCAGTGGATGACACACAGTGGTAATGTTAGATATCAGTGTAATTTTCCTTTTGTTTTAGTTCACAAAACATAAATAATCTCATCTGAGTCTCGTAACTCTGTGCGTAAAGCACCCATTAACATAATAAAAATTTGTTCAGCACTTTTCCCAAGTCCTTGCTCAGCCAGTTGCACACTCTTGCCTCTCTTCTGAATCAGGTAGTAGTAGAGTTATGTAGACATGGGAATGAGCACTCCCAGGAAGAAGCCATGGTGGACCGTGCCCGAAAACATTCATAATCCAGCAACAATTCACAAGGCGGAAGACCAGATTATCTTTGGGCACAATGACACAGACCTTTGCTGCATTGAGGCACACTGCTACACTCTCACTCAGCTGGAAAGGTGGTTTATAGCCACAGGCCAGACTCGTGTCACTGTGGTCAGGCCACCCAGGGCAAGGCAGGGGCTGTTGCACATCATCTGGTGTGTGGGGAGCCAGGACTCCTATAGTCAGACCCAGGGCCTTGAGATGCTGCAATGTGTCTGGAGCCAGCCCCTGACCGAGGTTGACCTGGCCACCTCTACAAACACAGATCCCAACATTGGGCACCTGTCTCTGGCCACCAGGATAAGTGGAACTATCTCTCTTAATATTCCTTAGGCTACCCCTTCTCAGTTGGTTGGTTGTATGGGATTCCATCTGAGTTCACTCTATTCACGATAAAGGAATGTACTGCTTTTTCAGATCTTTTAAACATACAACTGTGAGCATAGACATTGATTTATTCATTCAATAAATATTTTAAGTGAGTGCCTACTGTGTATCAGGCACGATTGCAGGGCTTTAGAAGAAACTCGTGGAACTTATATAAGCAGGAGAAATCACTGACAAGTGAGTACATAACACAGTGTCACAGAATAGTGCTACAAACACAGCAATAATGGGAAACGACAGAAAATGATAAACAGTGACATCTTATTTTATGCAAGATACACAGGAAAGTTCTCTCTGAAGAGGCACTTAAACCAAAAACTAAATGATAGGCAAGAACATGCCCAAGAGAGGATTTTGAAGGTGGGGAGTTAATGCAAAGCTGTACAGGCATAGAAAAGAGTAAATAAAAGTCCTAGGGCAGAAACAAGTTGGCACGGTTGACAACAATAAAAAGGGTAATGGAGCTAAAGTGGAGTGGGCACAGAGTAAAACTATAAAAACAGTTGTGTAAGATTTCATATATATTTTTTTTTCTTTTTTTTTTTTTTTTGAGACATTCTGTTGCCCAGGCTAGAGTGCCTCGGCATCAGCCTGGCTCACAGCAACCTCAAGCTACTGGGTTCAAGTGATCCTCCTGCCTCAGCCTCCTAAGTAGCTAGGACTACAGGTGCCTGCCACAATGTCCAGCTAATTTTTTTTTCTATTTTTAGTAGAGATATGGTTTCACTCTTGCTCAGGGTGATCTCAAACTCCTGAGCTTAAGAAATCTACCTACCTTGGGCTCCCAGAGTGCTGGGATTACAGACATGAGCCACCATGCTCGGCTGAGAGAATCTTTTTAAAACTTTCTTTAAAATTATGGTTTTGTCATAACCTTTAAAGGTTATTTATTGTTGTTATTTTTTTTTTATTTTTTGCGGCTTTTGGTCGGGGCTGCGTTTGAACCCACCACCTCTGGCATATGGGGCCGGCACCCTACTCCTTGAGCCACAGGCACCGCCCTAAAGGTTATTTAAATATTAATCACACTTTAAAATATGCTTTCAGCAGAAAAGCAGATATAATCACTATCATGCCTTGTTTTATGATAGCTTTCTTATTTTATAAAAGCAATCACCCATATCTTCTTTCAGTCTGAATATAACACAGTTTCCCAACAATGACAATCACTTTTTCCTCCTTTTTTTCTATTTCTTTTATCATTTTTTAAAAAAATAGACACAAGATCTCACTATATTGCTCAGCCTGGACTCAAGTGATCCTTCCACCGCAGCCTCCCAAATAGCTGAGATTACAGGTGCCTGCCCCACGCCCAGGTCTTTCTCCTTTTCACCTCTAGATCTCACTTAAATTTATTCCCTTTGCTTCATAGATTTTCTGAGTGTTTAACTGGATACTTTGTTCAATTCTCTATTCTCTACCTGAGATTCCTGATAAATCTAATTCTGGCTGGGTATTTCTTCAGCATGTGAAAATCTATCTAAGCATCTTTTAGTACTTTGTGGGTTAATCATACAACTGTTTAATTTTTACCTCTGTCTACAATTGACTCCTCAACTGTTACCTTCCTGCTAAATGAAGCGATCTACGATGTTCCTCTTCCTTTTGACTGAAGGCCTTTAAGGAGGGACACAGTTTTCTTAATCAGCCAGACCTCTAAGTTAAATAGATTCTCCAGGTTTTCTGCCACAGAAGACAAAGCAGTGTGAACTGCTCTTCCAGTATTCTGGGGTGTCTTTCCCACAAGATACAAGAACTGCTGCTTAATTTATCCAGGTACTTTCAAGGCAAGCATAGGTCTAGAAACTTTACTATTAAACCACAGTTCTTTCCAATACCCAGATGGAGCCTAATAATTCTTGCAAGTGCCTTTTCTTTTGCTACAAAGTATCTTAAAATTTAAGAAGCCAGTGATATTCTGAACAGTTAAACTATAGATTGGGCCAATATGAGGATCTTCAGAAGGATTTTCCTTTTTTCTATTTTTCTGTACTATTGGGAAAATCTTTTTTTTTTTGAGACAGTCTTTTTTTTTTTTTTTTGGCAGTTTTTGGCCGAGGCTGGGTTTGAACCCACCACCTCCGGTATATGGGGCACATGCCCTACTTCTTTGGGCCAAAGGCGCTGCCCTTGAGACAGAGTCTAAAGCACCCTGGGATCACAGCTCATAGCAACCTTAAACTCTTGGGCTTAAGTGATTCTCTTGCCTCAGCCTCCCAATTAGCTGAGACAACAGGCGCCCACCACAACGCCTGGTTATTTTTTTTATTGCAGTTGTCACTGTTGCTTAGCAGGCCTGGGCTGGGTTTGAGCCCGCCACCCTAGGTGTATGTGGCCGGTGCCCTGCCAACTGAGCTACAGACACTGCCTATTGGGGAAATCGTAAACATAAAAAAAGTATAGAGAACATAAGGATATCACATCCATTTCTCAATACCCATATTCAACAATTATTATATGGCCAATCTAGTTTCATCTACAATTGCCCCCACTTTTCATTCCTCATCCGTGGACTCTTATCAAAGCAAATTGCACACAAGAAACTTCATTTCAAGAGGATTCCAATCAGCATAAAATGTGATCTTTAGAACTGGTAACCCAGTCCCTTTTTAAGCCTTTAGCACAGGCAAGTTCTAAGGTTCCCTTTAGGTTACTTCAAAGGACCAGAGTGGGTTACCAACACGACATTTCCTAGGTACATTAATTTACTGAAAAGTACTTTTCTCCATGTCTGTATGCCTAAGTACAATTATTCCTCAATTTCTGGTTCATTTTGTCATGGCAAAATTAGTATATTTAGTAGAATTTAAGGACACAGATACAATATGGCCTAAATCCATAAATTATTTCACAAACCTTAAAAAAATCTAAAAGATGGCTTGGCATCTGTAGCTCAAGCAGCTAAGGCGCCAGCTACATACACCATAGCTGGCAGGTTCAAATCCAGCCCGGGCCTGACAAACAACGACAACTACAAACAAAAAATAGCCAGGCGTTGTGGCAGGCGCCTGCAGTCCCAGCTACTTGTAAGGCTTAGGCAAGAGAATCGCTTAAGCCCAGGAGTTAGAGGTTGTTGTGAGCTGTGATGTAACTGCACTCTACCCAGAGTGACATCTTGAGGCTCTGTCTCCAAAAAAAAATTTTTGAAAGAATAAGTTATTATTGTATATAGCTATAAAACTCTACATTTATTTATATTCCAACACTGCAACAGATCGCCTTTTGATAAGATTCGAAACTATGCCATTATAAACACCCATGGAGAAAAATAATATGCTAAAATTCTTTGAGTTGTCTATAACAGAAAACATTTCACTTTTTTAAAAATGTAGTTTGGATGATGAACATACTAAATTTGAATTTAAAGATCAGTTATTTGACTTGGCACCTGTAGCTCAGCAGCTAGGGCACCAGCGACATACACCGGAGCTGGCAGGTTGAACCTAGCCCAGGCCTGCCAAAACAATGACAACTATGACCAAAAAAAAAAAAAAAAAAATCAGTTGTTCATCATAAATACCACCTACTACATATATGATGAAATGTGAAGTACTCTCTTATAAACTTGTATCAAAAAGCTCGTGGGAAACACTTACAGCTCTGACTCGAAGAAGATGGGAGATGACAGACTGCAGTTCATCACTGTAGTGTTTTAGTTCAGTAAATCTCCTGAAACAAGAAATAAAACATCATTTCTCTCATGAAAACAAGCAGTTAAAAACTGAAAGACAAAACAGCCCTTCCTGAGAATAACAAAACTGATTCCATATAACCATATGCTGGCCTTAAACATTTACACATCAATATAAATTCAAAAACTTCTAAAATAAAATGACACTTTCTTTGCAATCTTGAAAGCCAAAATGTTATACTTCATAATGTACATCACAGGACAGAGATAGAGAAAAAAAAATCTGCTGGTGTAAAAAAATTACCTTAGAAAAAATACAAGACAAAATTTATGGTGCTCAATCGTATGGTACACCAGTAAATGCATGATCTCTAACCTCAATCTTAATTCTGCTCAATTATCTTTATTTTCCTAATCTATTAACTGCCATTCTCCATAAAGACCAAAAACGTCTACCATAACACCTGCTGCTCTCCAAACACCCAATTTTCATAGCTAAAATCGATACAAGAATAACCTCCTCCTCACCTCCTTTGCAAACTTCCCCATGTCTACATCATTTCTTCCCTCCCTCTAGGATTTCTTCCCATCCAGCTATCCCCCATATTCCTACTTCCTAATTCCATCTTTATAAGTTTCCAACTAGCATACTAATTAACTCGGGTCTCTCTTAGATGAACACACACGAAACTCCTTGCTATTAACTCCCTCTTGATACCCACCCCTTTTACAGTCAGGCTTTCACAGACCATCATCTCCCTAGCAATAACCACCACTTCCCTTCCCATTCACTGTGCAGTCTATCAGAATCTAGCTTCTGCCTCCAGGAATACAGGGAATATATATGAAAAATGTTCCTGACGAAGTCACCAACTATTTTAGTTGTCTTCTTACTTGATCTTCCTGCCAATGTAACAGCCAGGACATAAACCTAAAAAGTAATAAAGTGTTAACCTCTGGGGAAGGGGAAGAGGAATGGGAATGGATAGATAGGGACAGGAGTGAAACTTTTCATTGTGTAATTTTTCTTTCTTTTTTTGGGTAGAGTGGCATCACAGCTCACCACAACCTTAAACTCTTGGGCTTAAGGGATTCTCTTGCCTCAGCCTCCTGAGTAGCTGGGACTACAGGTGCCCGCCACAGCTCCTGGCTTTTTGAGACAAGGTCTCGCTCTGGGTCATGCTGGTCTTGAATTTGTGAGCTCAGGTAATCCTGAGCCTCAGCCTCCCAGAGTACTAGGATAACTGATGTGAGCCACCTTGCTGGCCTTATTACTTTTCTTTTCTCTCTCTCTTTTTTTTTTTTTTGAGACAGAGATTCAAAAATGAATCTATGAATCTATGTCACCCTCTCAGTAGAGTGCCATGGCATCACAGCTTGCCACAACCTTAAACTCTTGGGCTTAAATGATTCTCTTGCCTCAGCCTCCCAAGTAGCTGGGATTACAGGTGCCCAGCATAATGCCTAGCTATTTTTGTTGCTGTTGTTGTTGTTGTCATTGTTGTTTAGCAGACCTGGGCCAGGTTCAAACTCACCAGCCCAGGTACATGTGGCCAGCA